AATTTTAGAGCCAAGTATATCTACATCAAATTTTGAGACAGTTGATTCGGCGTAATTTAGGTTTTCATGCTTGGGAAGTTGCTAGGTGTTGCACAAATTTACCATATTTTTCTCATTCTTTGGAACTCTTGTTACATGAGGTATTCAATATTTAATAATTGATGATTAATTGTTAGAAAAATTTAATAATATATTAATTATTTTACTTATAAAGGTTTTAGAAGAAGAAGCTACCAGCAAAGAACCCATACCAGATGCTCAGTTACCTAGTGTTATAGAATTTATACAGGAATTTCCAAATCTTTATTTAGAAACTGTGGTTCAGTGTGCTCGTAAAACTGAAATTGCATTATGGCCTTATTTATTTTCTGCAGCTGGTAAACCTAAAGATCTTTTTCAAGAGTGTCTAAAACGACAAAATTTAAATACTGCTGCTTCATATCTTATAATACTCCAGGTCGGTACATAAATTGATTCATATAAATCTTATTTTTATATTTTTATAATTTGAATTTAATGCATTAAATTCAGATTTATATTGTTATTATAAAATTGATTTTTAATAAGAATTCAAGTTCACATTTCTTATTTGAATTCACTGTTTAAATAAAATATAACAATTTAGTATAATATAACATTGTTCTTTATTTTTGTAACATATTTTTAAATGTATTTCAAGAATTTAGAATCATCTTTGGTCAGTTGTAAATATGCTACTTTGTTATTGGATTCAGCTTTAGATAGTTGTCAATGGGATTTATCTAAAGACCTTGTCAGATTTTTGAAAGCAATTGGTATGAAAATAGTTCGATATTTTTAGTATACAAATTTAACTATTTAACTTATATACCTACTGGTTTAGATCCAAATGATGCTGATTCCCCAAGAACATCATGCATTTTTCCTGCAAAATACAGTATGATGGGACAAGCAAGCACAGTGAATCCGAATGAGGAAGATTTATCGTTTTTAATGGGAAACATTCAGGTATTTAATGTAACAATAAATAAAAGTAACTTAAAAATAATTCCTATGCATTAATTAATTATTAAATAACCGTAATTTTCAGGTGAGAGGAAGAAGTATTAGTACCAGTACTACGCCCAAAATAGATATGAATTCTACTTTTGTAAGAACTGATAGTAGAACAGAGCATAATAGTTCACAAAGAAAAAGATCTCTACTTTCAAATGGAAAATCAGAAAATGGGTTTGTATTATTTTTGTCTATTTTACTATTTATACAATATATCTATATTCTCTACATTCAACAATTTATAATTTCTTTTAGAAAGGATATGGTCACTTGTAATTCTATTCTTGAAGAATTTTTCACTGATACAATTCTTCAAAAACATGCTGCTAAATTATTACTTAATTACAAATTAAGAGCACTTGGATATTTTGCTGCTCGATTAGACTTTCATTTAGTTGAATGGTTAGCAAAAGAACGTAATGGAGCAGCTCGAATCGATAACTATATTGTGGCCTTGCGAAGTCTTTACACTGATTTTTCTTTAACAAGACCATTAACTCCTATTCAAAAACGTTCTCCACCACCATCGGGTATGTTGTTCAATACAGACAAGCCTAAGTGGGTAGATGGAGGTAGTGCTGTTGGTGATAGTGGCTACATGAGTTGTCAAGATGTTCCTCAAATGTCTTCTCAATATCCCCAAGATGGATTCCTTACAGGAATTGGTGAGAAAATAATTTATAAAAAGACTTATCTTTTTTATTTGTCTTAATGCAGTGATTTTATTTAAAGATGAAGCTAGTACTGTTAGTGAATCTGAAGATGCTTTGTTGTGGAATGAAGAAAGAACACAGGCTAATATTGATAACTGGAATGTTATTCCTAATGCACATATGTTAGAACAACTTTCTAATGAGCATTTATCACAAGACACTTCAAAAGCTGAAGTGCAACTTAGGTAGGTTATTTATTATTGTTAATAATATTTTTTTATCAGTTTCATAAACATAATACTATAAAAAATATTTTACAGATATTTGTTGCAATTATTATTTGAAGCTGGTTGTTTGGAGTGGAGCTTTATTGTATCAGTGTTTCTTAGAGATGCATTAGCAGTGCAAAGGCTTATATCTATTTCCCGGTCACCGGAACACAGTTATGAATCTGTATCTAGATTAAAACAAGCATTCATTTTATTATACCAGTGGAGTTGTAATGAATGGTAGTGTATACAATTTACATTATGTTTAATTTAAATTATTTTTTATTATTTATGCATTTTATTCAAAAAAAATTTTCTAATATTAAGAAAAAAAGTCATTCAATAAACAAACAATAGTTAATAGGTTCTTACTCCTTAATTTCTTCAATTTTTTTTCTTTCAAGGATTATATAGAGAAGATAAGATAGTACTTTTTAACTGGATAAAATCTACAAAACAGATTAGTTAATTTTTTTTTGATACATTGCTTTATGATATTATTTTTAAAATTATTTATTTATTTATCAAATTATATTATTTATAATATTTTAGAGAAGTGCTAAAAACGTATTCCAAGAACATTGTTTTTATTGCCTTGCTACAGAATGTTTTATTTGATTTAAAAGATTATCGTAGTTAACTCATTTAGTGGGTTAATTTTTTAAAATTTCCTTAAAATATTGAATACTTTAGCATTTGTTATATTAATGATCTAGAAAGTAATTTAAATCAAAATAACAGTTTATCAAATCATATTTCACTGATGAATTTGTTACTTATACTGAAATAAATTTTTGGGAAAATGGGAATATAATATATCTAAAAATTATCATAACTTTATACTCATCACTAAAAATAACATTTAAAAAAAAAATTTAAAAAACTTCATGAAAATAATTATATATTCTTTTTTTATTTTATTTTTAGCTTTGGCTATCGACCATTTATGTCTACATGCCAAGCACAGTTGGGTATATTAAATCGAATAATTACATCTAAACAGCCAGCGCCTACTGTAACTCCACAAGCATCTTCATCTTCACTGACCAGTGTTCTGACACAATCTTCTAGATCGCGATCAGCAAGTGAAGGTACCGGTGGTAGTCATACTACATCAGAAATTACTGATCATAGTATACAAACAGATTGTCATCCAGCTATTGCACTGGATTCTTGCTGTGATGAAACTCAAGACAATATGTCTAATTTTGATACAACATCTGTAGTAAGCTCGCAATCACCTAATAGCTGTTCATTATCTTAAAATTAAGATATTTCTGGTATATCTTACATAACAGCTTAAATAATTTTTTAATATTTACAATTCACTTTTGCTGTTATAGACAAAATATTATTTAGAAAGACTTAGGTAAATAAAAATACATTTATTATTATTTTATTTGTTTATTATTTTTGTAGGCTGTCAATTAGTAGACTTATGAAAATACATTTTATTTTCATAATAATTATGTGTTGTAGTTAAACAATGCATTTTAAATGTCCAATATAATTCCAAATTACTTGCCATGGAATATTGACTGATTTAAATATTAAAAAAAAACATTCATTTAAGTGCCTACTAATTGAAAAAGCCAAAAATATATTAAATATAAGTTTTTTATCTTGTCATGTTATTATTTTAACACATTTGTGATATATTGTTATAAATTATATGATATTATTTACCCATTATTGTTAATAAATAGTATAGAATTTAATTTTCTTATTTTTATTTTTTTATGTATACATCTTTTGTGCCACGAGTATGAAGTAATTATTACATTTTATTTTACTATATTGTATGAATCTTCAAAATGTATTGTATTGTTTTGTGATGCTTACTTAAAGATAAGAACTAAATCAATTAATGATAATCATATATTTTAATTTTGTACTAAAATTATGGCCTTTAAGTAACTTTGAGTAAATTAGTATTTTGAAGAATTATTTTTATGTAGCTATTGTGTAGAATAAGAATAAGTATTTATGTGTAGTCAATTTGAATGGAAAAAAGAAAATTAGTATTATTGAACTCAAGTTGTATGAAACTTAATTGCTTTTTATACAATCTGATTAAAAGCTCACATAGGCTGTGTTATTGGTTAATACTATTAATACATTATGCTTCTTACAATTTTTTTTTTTACTTTGATTAAGTTGTATATTAGTAAGCTATAATCAAATATTTATATGTGTCATAAGGTGCTCAATGTATTTTAGGGTTGTTAGGTATTTATTTTTTTTTCGTTAATTTTTATCAATATTAAATTATTATTAATTTGTAGTTGTACACATTTTCTTAAAATTAAAAAAAAAAGTTTCATTAGATTAAATATGACCATTTAATAATTTTAAGTTAATTTTAAATTATTTATTTATTTCTATAAGTTATTTGTTGTGGTAATGTTATTGTTATTACTTTAATATAATATAGATAAGTTATTATTTATTTATACAACATTATACTAGACTTATGTGCTTTTTTTTTACAACATTATTCATATTTTTATTTACCTACTAATTATTACATTGATTATTGTGTATTATGCTTATATGACAGTTCTATAATCAAACAGCATAAATGAAAATAAATTGTATTATTTATTTGATAATAATTAGAATCATTGTATTTCTATAAAAGATATGCTAATTTTTTACTATCCTATAATATAGTAAACTGAGTGATTCTTTGAACAACACTCATTATTTCAAAATCTATTAAAGTTTTTGAATTTTTTTTTTTTTTATACAATTTTTAATCAAAATATTAAACAACATTTTTTAAAGTCTTTTACTGTTTGAATGACAACTTACATTTTTAATTTCATATTTTGAAGTATAATTTTTTTTTTTTTTTTTGAATATTTTGAAACATACAAATTGAAATTCGAAAAGTAGTTAGTGAGTTATAAGTATTTAAAATTTGGCAGAGCGGAGTGGAGGTGTCATTCAAAAAAATAAAAATGGAAAAAAAATATATGATCAAAAATATTTAAAGATATATATAATAAATATATATATATATATCATATAAAACATGATTTTCGAAAAAACTTGAGATACGAGGTATTGCCATGACGGTAGCAATATACTTATTTTTGATGTTGTTTTATAGTTCAACTGGAAATTCTGAAAAAAAAATTATTTTTAAAAATGTTATTAGATTTTGACTTAGTGAGTGTTGCTTGATAAAGGAACATTCTGTATACAATTTAATGCCTATTAATTATAAATTCTTAATTCCTTACTAAAAAACTTTTAATTTGATTAGTTTGAATGTCATAGATACAGACGACAAAGTATAATATTTTTTACAATAATACATTAATACAACATGAAATATACGGTAAAACATTTATTTAACAAACTTTGAAATTTGAATACTCTCTATGTAACAAAATATTTCACAGATCTTTAATAATGAATAATATGTATCTAATTAAAAATATATACCATATTTAATAGTTTTAATAGTTCGATGAATTTAAAATAATCACAAAATACAATAGATAAATGTATAAATACTCGTACCTATTTATTCAACACTAATACTATTCAACTTTGCACAGTCTGTGATAGGCTCTGAATAAGTAAAACCACGGAGCATCATCATAAACGTTATGAACTTATTTTTATTATCACAGTCACATTTTGCAGTGGGGTCGATTGTATCGATGTACTTTACTACGATTCCTTTTGCTTTTATATCTTTAGCAAATTTGCCCTGTAAATTAAAAAAAAAAATAATAATAATTAGATTGATACATACATTATAGTATTTATATGTTTCATAAAATAGTATGTATTACTTTAGCATAGAATGATGCTGCATTGTCAGCACACCAGTGAGTATTGTAGTGGTCAGATTCACAATACTAAAATTGTTCGTAACATGTTTCAAACAATTATTATAGGTATTTATTTGTATATTTTTAAAAATAAAAGTATCTAAATATCTAACACTATATACACTTGTGCCTACCTACAAAATGTGTAACATACTTTTAACTATATATACCTAATAATTGGCATAGCCAGAATTTTTGAACGGGGGAGGGGTTAATATTTAGGTATACATCAAGGATGGTTTAACAAAAAAAAAGCCATTCAAAATATGTTTACTGAATAATTAAATAAAAATCAATGATGGGGGGGGGGGTTACAGCACCCACCTGGCTACACCAATATATCTAATATTATACATAGATAAAGGTACCTCATTATTATTTACACCCACCAATGTTGGCACTGTTTGTAATTATAAATCATTTAGGGTAAAAACGTTTTAGTAATAAATTAAATAATAATCTTAACAATTTGTTTTTTTTTTGTTAATAGATGAAAATAATTTATCAGATTTATTTGTATACTTTTTTGTATGTCACGCAGCATGTGGGTAGATGTTCAGTTGCTGAGTTATTAAGTGTAGGAACCGCTAAGAATTCTAGATAAATTTTGTTCTTTGCAATTTTCGAACTATTAAAAGCTTTTTCAAATGTTGTCTGAAAAAATAAAAATAAAATTAATGTGAAATTAGGTACCTAGATATAGGTACTCAGTATTTTTACCAAAGAATGGTTGTAATTAAAAACATTATCCATTGGAACAATTCCGCCTATAAAGAATTCATTACACAGATTAAAATTATCAAAGCCAATTATGTAATAATCCACAACATCATTCAATACCACAAAGTCAAACCCTATCAAACAAAACAACAAATAAGTAAAAATTAATTTTAATTTTTAGTATTTAATGAATATCTTTTTAGTTTTTATTAATTTTTTTTATGTCAAAACTCATATATTTACAATCTGTAGAATCTTGATCATCACTATAATATATCATGTTGCTTGCATTCACATATAATCCAATATTCAAATTGTATTTTTTTTTCAGTAGATTTATGAATATTTTTAAATTATTGTTGAAAGATTTATCAAAATGGAAATCTGAACTCTATGAAAAAAAAAAAAAAAATGAAATTTATTAGTATAAATTAAGTTCTAACTATCTATTTACATTGATTTGGTTATTCTGAATTATCAATGAACATGTTTGAACAAAAAAAAAAACATTAGTATTTATCTATATATTCATAAAATATTTAATATCTTACTGATAAAATTATAAAGGCATATAAAACTAAACGAGATTATTTTGTCGTTTGACTATTGAGATTAAGTTAGGACTATCCCGATTATCCGACTATTATACCCCTATAATAAAAGAGTAAGACGATGAAGCAAATAAATAAATAAAATGATTAATTATCGTTAAGTAATTGGTGGCACCGATGTGGTTGAGACTTTTATGGCTTGCGCCTAATTTCTTTCAATTCACTTGAGAATCAAATTTAGCTGTAATAAAGTATACGGGTATTAAATGATACATGTACTTTTATTATTTATTTATTTTATTGATATACTCATTTTTGGGAAAAGGGTTTACTCTCGTATTAAATTAGATTTCAAGATTCTATCAATATTTGTTCGTTTAAAAAATGTATTAACACATTTTTATTAGTTAATAAAGCATCTTAAAGAAGAGGAAACTCAGTGAAGGAATTTTGGGATAATATTTAGACGCCATTTTTATTTTTAGAAAGATACTATATTTGAAATATGTATTGTTCTTTAATTTATTTATCATTTTAATTTTTAATATTTTTTTTATAATCGTTCATAAGGCATAATTACGTATTTGAGAAATTTAAATGATTTCGCAGGCATCTAGTACAGGGGATCCGGTTAAAAAGCTACATAGCATCACACCACGCTGTTTATTAATGACGTCATTACGTAATTATTTCCGTTTAAAACACGATTTAACGAATGTTGTGATTTATAATAAATCGATCGTTAATTATTAATTTTTGTATTATTGTGTTTATTTTCATTTTTATTTAATTTGTCAATAGGTATAAGGTTTTTAAATTTTTATGATCATTTTGTCACTTTAATGGAGACTCCTTTATAGCCTTAAAGGACAAAGGTAAGTACCTACTAAATTCTAAAAACTGTTAACATAAAATCGATTATTTATGATTATAAATTTAATGTAATATAAATACTGTTTAATTATAAACAAGCTGGTACTTACAAAATTGCTATAACCATAGTTTAAATTCTTTAGTATTATACCCGTTATATTAAAACCATTTAAAATTTGTTTAATGTTGTCTGAATTTTTTTCTGCGTTTTTACTATTAATTACATTCATCCAAATTTGGGTTTCATAGCCAAAATATAAATATAATGATTTATTAGATGTATCAAGATTAAATATGTTAACTGTAAATAAAAAACAAATTTTAATTTGTTCAAAAATATATTGTAAAATATTATATATTTATTTTACCTATTTATGATTATTGCCAATCGTACCTACATATTATATTTATATCATATAGGTAATTATTTTAGCATAAAATACCTTTATTATTTATAAAATTATAAAATAAATTGATATTAATATTTGAATAAAGTATTTGATTATTTATCGTGGAAAAGAAGTATCTATTGTTCATTGATTTTGATAAGTTTTAAATTTTTTTAATATATCATAAATTCCAAGATACAGTTATTTTTATTTTTATTTTGTATTTAAAAAAATATATTATACAATCTGTATTATGCTATACCATAAGTAATATGGTTAATAATTTACAAGACTGGACTGCTTGATAGAAGGGGGTGTCCAAACAACACTACTTCAATTCTAAGTTAAGTTAGTTTTAGTTTAGCTTAATTAGGGGTTTTTTTTTTTATTGATTGAGGAGGTCCCTGGGCCAATTTCGTTTTAAACGACGAGGTGGGTTATCGGTGATAGTGAGGGAGGAAACGAGTAGATTAGGGTGGTTCACTGTGTTATTGTGAAATAATTTATAGTGGGAGGCTAGGGTATTTATGTTTGGGATTTTGAGGTCAGAGTGGAGTGTGAGGTTGCTGACGTACCAGGGGGCGTTGGTGAAGAGGTGAAGGCAAATCGATTAGAAGGATTGGAATTTTTGAATGTTGGATTTTTTGGAGGAACCCTATAGCTGTATTCCGTAAATCATTGAGGGATGGAGAATTTGTTAATAGATTAAGAGTTTTGTGTTGAGAGGGAGATTTAATTTAAGAAGGTGTTTCATTTTGTGGAGTTTTAAATTGAGTGATTTCCTTTTTGTTTTTGTGTGATATGCCCAAGTGAGTTTACTGTCGAGGTGGATACCGAGGTAACGGGTGGCTTGTGTTTTGGGAATCGTGTCATTGTTGAGGATTATGGGGGGACTATGATCTGGACGTAGAGTAAAGGTTATGTGGGTAGATTTATTTGGATTTATTTTGATTCTCCACAAATTGAACCAGTTTTGTAGTTTATTAAGGTGGGTAAGGTGGGTTTGTAGATTATAAGATGCTATTGTTAAGCCAACATCAGCTGAGATTATACCTGTGTCATCTGCGAAAGTAGCAAGAGTGGTGTTCTCGGAGTGAGGAATGTCGGAAGTAAATATATTGTAAAGTGTAGGTGCTAGAATACTTCCCTGGAGGATACCTACTTTTATGTAGTGGATTTGTCAGAGTTTGTCCTCGCAACGAACAACGAAGGACCGGTTATGTAGAAAAGATTTTATTATTAAAAACAGGGGGCTAGTAAAAATCGTATTTTATATAGGAGGCCTTCGTTCCAGACGCGGTCAAATGCCTGGGCTACGTCGAGAAAGACACCAGTGGAGTACTGTTTATTTTCGAGAGTTTGTGAAATTATGTCATTTATTCTGTGGACTTGATGAAGTGACTAATGTTTATTTTTGAAACCGAATTGAATGTAGGGGATTATATTTTGGCTTGTTAATATAGGGGTTAGTCGCTTTAGTATAATCTTTTCTAGGATTTTTGAGAAAGAAGGTAAGAGGCTGATAGGTCGATATGAAGAAGGTAGGTCGGGAGGTTTATTAGGTTTTGGAATTAGAATAATTATGGAGTGTTTCCATGAATGAGGAATGTGGAAGAGACGAAGAATTGAGTAAAAGATGAAGGTTAAGAGAAGAATGGCTATCTTGAGCAATTGTTTTTTTATTCAATTTGTAATTAGGTCGTGACCTGGTGATTTTTTGTTTAATAATTTATTGATAATAAATTGAATTTCGCTGAGGGGAGGTATGTTTTATGAGTAAGGACATAGGAAGGCAGTTGGTTAGAGATTTTTTAATATAAGATGTGTGATCAATGTTGTTTATGTCGGGGTGAGAAATGAAATTATTTTCTAGAATAGAGGCAAAAAGGTTTGATTTTTCTAAGTTGGTCTTAGCAAGGGATCTGTCAGGATATCTAATTGGTGGTATTGAATTTTTGTTATTTAGAATTCTTTTAGTAGCTTTCCAAATAGAGTTGTTTGAGTTGGTTAAAGAGTGTATATATTTTTGGTACGTTTCTGTGTTGTGAATGCCAAGAAGGTTTTTAAGGGAGCACGTAATGTTGTTATACCGACTTTTGTCATTGGGGAGATGAGTTTAGTGCCAGCGGGAATATGGAAATTTGAGTGTGTGGTGAGGTGGGATTCATTTATTAGAAGTATATCTATGTTTTTTACAGTAAGAAATGCTCTGAAGACACTTTTACACTTATTTTTATTTTTTGAAGAAATTCAATCATGCTTATAATGTTTAGTGACTTACTTGTGTGTACAACATGATTTAATAATAAATGAAAACAAAATGTGTGAATAATTCAAGATGGTGGTTTAATTCATAAATAATACATAATTACTAATTAATAATTATTAACTAGTAATGCGAGTTGCCTTGAGTCACAACACAATAATAGTAATAATTTAGGTTATGTACCAAACACTATATTGCCAATCAACGACCAATTAAGCAGGATCGTTTAAAACTAAAATTATGGCAAAATATTGTTACCTAATAATATATACACATATTATTTCCTACTTATAAATACAATTTATGATTATTTTCAATATTAAAATTTACTTACTTTCATCATATTCAGTAAAATTAGTAGTTAAACTTTCATTAAAATTTACTGCATCATAAACTAATGAAGTACACTCTATTGGAATCCAATCTATTGGCATGGGTTCATTCGAACAGAAGTATCCATTTTTATCATAAGAGCCCGAATACATACATGGCGCTATTCCAAGCACTGAAAATTAAAAATAATAATTTCATAATATCTATTTTGTTTATCATTTTTTTTTTTTTTGAATTTTGAATAAAAACTCGGTTGATTGATTTTTATATAGCCAACATTTAAATTATATTAACATTTAATGTTTAAACCTTTAAAGGTTAGGACATTTATTTACATAACGTATTTTCGTATTTTTAAATTGTACATTGATGTCAACAGATGATTTGAAAAAGCAGTTTTTCCTTTATTGAAGAGTGGTTCAAGTTGTTTCTTATCGTGCCACATTTAAAACAATGTTGTTACTCGTTATCAGTCTTTAGTTAGATATTTACTGATTGAGGTGTTGTGATGGCGAAACATGTAATTTGGAGACTGGAATACTCATTTATATATATATATTTAAATTATTTTGGGTTACTTGTATTTAGTATTTTCTTTCTTATCTACCAATTCTTATCAATATTCTTGCTTATCTAAGTAATCATGCACTTTTTTATGTTTCGGTATTGGAAAAGATGATTCCTAGTTCAATACAATAATGTGTTGATTTTTGTTATTTTTACATGTAATAGTATGATGAATGACCCTACTTAATGTATTCTGAATAGTAATATTATCACTAGTCGTTTACTACTTGAGAATATTTTTAAATATGTAGTTAATCTTAATTGGAACATTTCTCTCATTTCAGTCATTGTTACATCATCGAAATTTTTTTTATAACATTTTAGAATTCCATAATTATGATTTTGCACATTCTTCACTTTTACATCCAAAGTATTGCGTTACTTTTAGATTTGTTTTATAATGACGTATTTTTTTAATTTATGTGATTATTACAACATTTGAGAGCAGACGATTTGATACTGAAATTTTTTATAACATTGAGTGTATTTTCCGTAGCATTTTTAATTTGTCGATTTTTTTTTCTTGGTGGGATGAATAGAATATTATGAGTAATTTTCTTAACGAATAGAAATACTAATGAAAAACGAAAATTATTTACGTAATATCGTCAATTTTTTTTCCGGCAATATTCTAAAAGTAGTAATTATGTTTAATTGAAATATTCATGAAATATGATTTCCATTTGAAGTGTTAATATTGCTTTAAATTAAAGATGATATTTCATAATTCAATCGTATAACTCCTATTCAATATTTTCAAATGATTACTGTCACGACATAGTATAGTCAGTCATTAGTTGATGATATTAACGTAGCGTGTATTGTTGTTATTTTCTTTTGGTAACGTTTCTAATTATTATTTTTGTATTGTTTTGTGATCGTAAAATGGGGAAAAAAGTTTAACAATAGGTTCAATAGTTTGTTACTAAGCAAATACTATATTTTTAAATAAATTAAAATATGAGGAATTCATTTTAAATTTGAATAAAGTGAATATTAAAATAATAATAAAAATTGCAGACGATTACGAATTAATTAAAAAATACAATGTTGTAAATATATCAAGAAATATTGAGAATAGAATAAATTTTTTTAAATCAATCAAATACTGTTGAAAATCTCAAAGTCCAAGCTAAGAAATTGTTGAGTTTGTCTGAAGATCCTACCTAACCAATTTACAATATACAAAGAGTTGCTTATTTATGCTATTATGGTACCACCAATACAATTTTTTTCAAGAGAAGAGGCAAGAAAATTTTCTAATTTGGATAGTAAAGGGTACGATAGGTATATTTGGAATACATTATGTATGATCAACCGGTGTAAATATAAAAACTCTAGTCGACTTTGTAACTCAAAGTATCATAATATTGTGGTGTATATATGATAATAAGTTATGTAATAAATACTATTCTTATGTGCTCAACATTAATTTTTAGAAATAATTAATTAAAATGACTAAAATATTTAATAATTAATAATATTCATGTCAAATATCACTTTTAGATAATACAATTTAATCTCTAATAATAGGTATTTAACTCGATAATAGATTTAAAAATTATTAATAATGGGCAACTAATATTTGAAATGTCCATTTCAAGTTTTTTTTATAATTATTTAAGTACTTGCGCAGTAAGGTGTTTTATTTAATTTTTAATATATTTAACCTACACTATTCAAATTTAATTGGGTACTATAGCTATTCAATGCCTGGACAATGTCAACTTATTCCAACTTTATACTTTCGAAAATCGGGAATTGTGCATAATGCCTGACTTTTTACCTTAACCGCAACATACCTATAGAGTAGATAGGTAGATAAGTAGATATTCATTTATATTTATTTAAAAATATTACTTGGTTCACCAGCGTTGACTGCAATCCATTGATTTCGGAGAAAAAAATGTATAAGAATTAAAATAAAACTTTCCATTTTATTTTTTTAAAAAATCATGCAAAATAATAAAATGTAATTATAACATAAAACACAACTTTTAGTATTAGTTAAATATCTATAAAAAAAGTGGTATTTATAAATTCTACTAACTCGCAGCTGTATTATAGCTCTATTATATTTAAATGACAATTTAAAACAATTGTACAAATAAATAGATAATATAATTATCAATATATACATACATTATATCGACGTAAATATAGTTTAGTCGTAAAAAAATCAACACTAAAGACATTTTTTAACATCAAAATAATCAAAATTCTATAATTAAAAAATAATTTTGAATTATGGATTCACCCCAAACTGCAGTTGTATTTGAATATAAATAACATGACAATTGTGTACATAAAAAAATAAAAATAACATGAACTTTTATTTCAGTATGATCAGTATCACAAAAGAATACATGATAGAAAACAGGTATTATCAAAAACATTAATCGATTGATCACATATTACTTGAGAGGTAGTGAGGTAAGTAATAGTATTAATAACAGTATCGTAAGAAATATATTATATACGATTAGTGTTAGTATACCCAGATAGGATACACCAAGCGTACCATTGAAATAAAAATGTCTGTACTTGTTTGTTGTACCAACAGTTTCCGGTGCAAGTGCATATAGTAACGATAACGACCGTCGGACAACATGTTTATTAATGAGTATTAACTTTGAAGTAAGTATTCATGAGAGTATATAAACAAAATATTCGTATATTTTCAATGAAAATGTATTTAGTCTCTAGGAAACAGTTTTGGCCGGATGAGTACTTAATATGGTTTTTGATTGCGTGTGTCTGTGTTTTTTCCGATTTAATACACTTTATCCATAATTTATAATATCATACTTACTATTTATTGATGTGATTTTTCAGGTTACCGGTATTTTTCACGAATGAACTTTTTCCCGAACGATATTTCATCCGAAAATCCGAAACCTTTTTTCCCGAACGACTTTTTCTGACGGTTATTGTTCCAGAAATAAAATTGTTTAAAAATTTAAAAACTTTGTTATAACTAGGACTGATTTGCAGGTATCTATTTTCTGTTTATCATATTTTATACATATAATAACTAAAATACAGCTATTGCTATAGGTACATTCTAATCTCGAACTTTACTCAGCTCTTGGTGAGATCCAAAAGGAACAAGCTGATGTAGAGATAATGATCGCGGAGCTGATTTTAGGACGAAAAGTAAGGTATGACCAAGAGCGCTCATATGGGAGGCAAGGGAGGGAAATGTCCTCCCCGGGAAAATGTTGAAAATTTGTTTACACAAGATTTACAATGAGTGAAGATATACTTGATGGATTATGCATGATAAGCGTACAAAGGAAAAAATTTATGATAAAACGAATGAATACATAGAAAAAATAATAAATATATTTGATGTTAAAAAAAGAAATTTACAATTTTTATTTGTAAATTAATATTTTATAAATTTATGTGATTAATTAAATGAAAATTCAATAAATAACTTTTATGGTTAATTGGTTAAATTATAACTATTTCATAATCTTTTAGTTTGATGTATAAAATATATAATAGTGTAATGTTAAATTGTAAGCCCATTCCTATTTCATGGACATAATTAGAATTTTGTCCCCCCATTGATAATTTTTATATGGGCGCCCTTGAGTACGACTCATTTGAGCACAACAGCAAATTTCCCTTCTCACTTTAATATAGGCTTAGGACTATCTGTTTTGTACAGGCGTGATTAAAAATGTGCATAACGTGTGTGTGTTTGTTCTGTATAAAAATATATTTATACTATTAATAAGAAGTAATTATAGTAGTATATTGGTTATAAAATTATACTATTAATAAGTACTAAGTAGTAATAATAGTTTATTAGTTATAAAATTATACTAATTTTGTATGGTGGCATTTAAGTCCGATTTTCTTTATAAAAGTTAAACGAATAACGATCGATAATTTTATTTTTTCATTCATTCCAAATATTTTTCAATTGTATCTCCTTATTGTTTATCTGTTTTCTTTTGAAGTTTATGATTTTATTGTTTATCGAAATAATTTTTAAATTAGTTTCACTCTGAATTCCAATAATGACGTAAATTACTTGATGTATATATACATAAATTTATGAATTATATACAATTGATGTATACGTGGATGAGCAGTGTAAAACTGACTGTTATAATGTTTGTGATAACTTTCTGCACCATTAGTAGTCTTAGGATTATTAATAGATTCACAAATCCATAATGTAGGAGGAAAATGATTGCCCGATGTTATGTAATTTTCTAAAATATAATAGGAAAATATAGAATAGTAGTACTAGACTTAGTACTTAGTGCTAACGACATAAGATCACAAAATCCATCAGAAACTTCTTCAGGAAGTAAATAACTTAATTCAAAAAAATATTTCATCAATTTGCCAATTCAGAGTCATTGGTACTCGCTCAATAATATTTTGAGTTATACATAACGATAAAAAAAGTTAAAGGTTTTAAATTTAATAAAAATAGATGAACAGAACGCAAATAGTCCGTTTAACAAGCAACACTAACCTAATAGATATTCTAAAAATTACGTTCACTGTAGGGAGTTATGACCAAGTAATCGAACAAAAATCATTTTACCAACTGTTTATTTTTTCTTTGTGAAGGTGGGGTCTCTAAGCAACAGTTTTGGCCGGTAGAGTTTACATGCTATCTTTGTTTACTTGTATCCGTGTATTTCTCATTAATACGTTATATCTGTTTTCTATGATTGTTGTGCGGTTGAGTCATAAGAACCTCGGTTACGGTTCTTATTATTGTTATTATATTTATTTTTGAATGTTATAATTATTATACAAAAGTACTTACATAAGATACCATACCCTCTATTTAGTTTTGTTTTGTTTTATTTTTTTTATTACAAGATTATAAGTGTACTGTCAAGCGACAACAGTCGATAGTTAAAATTACATTTAAAATTTCGTCTTTTCTCGTTCTTTTCCCCAACCTTACTACATCAAACAACGCTTGAAATCAACAAATTGTCTTGCTCAGTAGAGCGGTCTACAATTTATAATGTAATTTATGTCACACAAAATATACTCTCCCAGTAAATTTAAACTACAATTTTCATCAAACTTTGATACGTCTTTATTAAATTTATAAGCACAAATATTGTATATACATCGTGTTTGATCATATCTGTAAGACTAATAATAAAATTAATATATTCAATATCATAGTGATAAGAAATTTTATTATGATATACCTATAGTCAACTCGCAATGTAACGAATTTCAATGGACTATAAGCAAAAAGTTCGGTATATCGAAAGTTGATAGGTACATTGAAATTTGTCATATCAACTAGGCTTGTTTTAAAAAAATTCAAAACTTAGACTTTATTAAATTATTCTAATAAAATTGCAGTGTACATAAATATTTGTCTATTTTTTAAATCGGTTAATATTTTTTGTGTGTGTATAGTTGTGCTTACCCGGTTAATGGCGCTGTATATAAAATGTCGATGTTATGTTTCTGTAAATAATTTAAGAGAGATCGCGGAGATCTGATTTTATTTCTTTCAAGGATACAGAGGGCTCTTCAAATTATTATTCTTCATTGTCAGTTTTGTTCAAAATCTCATCGTCATCACGAGAACCATAGTCAGCGAACTAGTCGTCGATAGCAACAAAAGTTTCATGGTCATTATACACTAGCAGATGTGTTTCTATTATACATACAACGGTGATATGAATTTAATCTGACTTAATGATAATAGCCGAATAAATGTTGTAAAATGCATTAAATTGCTAGGGCTATGGCCAAAAAAGATTCGTTTAATTAAAGAGGAAAAAATACATTTAAATTTTCGTTGTGTCACATAATTTCAAAGGAGCAACAGTTTTGTACCTTATATCGAGATTTTCGTTGTATTGAACTTCGATTTACTACGAGTTGACTGTAAATTCATGAAATGTATCTGGTTGATACATTTTTAAAGAAGATCTTTCTATTATGCTAATTTTCTATAAAACTGCATAGAATTTAACACTTAATAATTGCAAATGCCTAATTTCTTATAAATAATTAATCAGATTTCGGTTTTTAGACTATTGACAGTCAAAAATTTTTAATATTATTTTATAAAGTAATACAACATGCATATATATTAGATTCTCTTATTCGAAATTCAGGAAACCGACCAGAAAGTTTGATTCACAGAAAGTTTTTACTTATTAATTATTCGAATGATTAGGGGAAAAAAATTATTTTAATTAATAATTTGACCCATTGTAAATCATAAATACATATTTATTTTATATTTTGATATTAATTGATAGTTTTCTTTACATATTGTATATAATTAAAAACCTGTTATTTTTCGTAATGAATTATTGTCCACATTCTGGTGAATGGTGTAAATAAGTGAGTGACAAAACATTGTACTTAAAAGTTCTCATTTTTAGACTTAGCACGTTTTAATAGTTTTCAACAACTGTTTACTCGTAGCAGAAATTCATGATGGGGTTAAGCCATAAATTAAACGATTAAAGTCATTTTACCATTATAACTACATACTGTTATTATTTTTACCGTTGTTTTTAATTTGATTACGAGTAGATAAATTTAATTAAATTTCTAATTAAATGTAGTTGAGCAGTAATCCAAAAAATTAAATTCGAATAACAGAGTGTCACCCTCAACCAGACATTTCGAATTATCTAAGGTACCGAAATAAATTCATTTTCATTGAGCTGAAAAGGTTTTCCCAGGAGGTCAGGAAACCAATCGTTTTTAGCTTGATTTATAAAGTTTTTCGAACTATTGAAATATTTCTATACCTATATGTATTACTTATATTTACCATCAAATAATGATGTACCATTTGGAGACTTTTTTTTTATCTTTCATTTTACAACTAAATAGGCAGAATTTTATTTATTATCATAATCCTAAATACATACAATTATGTTAGTAACATTCATTGTTTCGATAATTAGATTGAT